GTGTGTGTGAGTGTGTGTGTGTGTGTGTGTGTGTGTGTGTGTGTATTGAACAATGTGTCTTTGTGTTTAACGCCTGGTGTGTGTCTGATGGTGTTCTGTATTTTAATAAACATTTATTGTTTTATATATTTTCTGCAACTTAATAAGATATATAACTATAATTCATTCTAAAAAGTTATTGTTCTGGTTTTGGGCGGACACAACCAAATATATAGAACTTGAATTGAGAATTAGTTTTAATGTAAAATAAATACATACATGCATTTTGTAAAACCAGCTGATGAATCAGTCAGGTTTTGATGTTGCTCTGACAAACGTGTGTTGTGGTTTGTGACGGTTTCAGTTTCCTCCGCTGACACGTCACACGTCTCACAGACGGACAGAAGATAAACAGAGCTGCAGCTGCCGGTCCTGTTCTAACATGTTCCGTTAAAACGTCTTTAACTGAGGACACAGTCCTGTCGTCTCCAGCAGAGGTTTGACATCATGTTCGTCCTCCGTGGGCACAATCAGCAGATAACGATGGAAAACCCCAAATGCAGTTAGAAGTCAAACGTCTTTAATTCAGAGCAGAGACGCTGTTTTTCACTTTAATCTAATTTCACCTCATTTAGATTTGAAAAAACTTCTGTCACTGCAGGGAGACGTGTGTGTGTGTGTGTGTGTGTGTAAGACTGTGTGCGTGTTATTATCTGTGGGAAACTTAGAGAAACTTAGATTTCAGTTGAACAGAGCAAATGACGACGAACCAAAGATCCCAGAGGCCTCAAATTATTAATCACAACCCTCAGACGATAGACGTGAGCTTGAGATCACTGACTCACTTCTCACCTGCCGGAGCCAAGTTCTGTTTTACCTCTCGTCCAGAACGCAGCCGCATGGTTTCCTGTCAGCGCACGTCACTCAGATTTTAGCTTCAGGTCAATTTCAGAATTGGTTTAAAGATTAACTGCTGACGTTTCAGGTTCTCACACCTCAGAACGTTTCAGATGTTTCACCACCTGACGTCTTCAGATCCACAGTCCCCACTGAGTGTGTGTGTGTGTCTGTGTGTGTGAGAGTGTGTGTGTGTGTGTGTGT